AGTCATGTGTTTGGGTTTACAACCAATGAGAAGGCAGAACAACATACTTTAAAAATACGAACCGACAGGAAGTAGGTCTCTTTTCGCGAAGCTGGGACAGCAGGAGGAAGGGTGAGATTTTAGCTCTGAGCTCTGACTTCTAGGCTTTCTCTTTTACATTGTTTCTGTGTTTCTTATTTAATAAGACGGTTGGTTACATCTACAGTCTGGTGTGGGAGACAAACGCACTGATTCTCAGGCTCACGGGAGGAATATCAGCAGGACTGCAGGGAAACTGTAGACCCCTCACTTAGCCCCAGCCTCCTCCAAAGCCCAAAGGGACTTCAGTAGTTCACACTTACAATTTTGCATTAGTAGTCATCAGAAGGGCTTCCCAAGTGTCGTGGATTTTCGGCAACATGAATTGGGGGCCGCTCTTGGATAAGATGCCTCTCCATCTCTGCAGCAGTATTTTCAAGATTTCCTTTATGCAGTCTTTTAGCTCTGCCTTGCTGGATGAGGTGGCGCAGCTGTGGGATTTGGTAATGAGGAAGCAGGTCCTGGGAGAGCTAAGGGAGGGGATATGGTCACAGTTGGGTGTAGAGTACTGATGAAATGTCAACCCCAGTCTGCTTCTCATCAGGGATATAATTGTCCTTCCAGGTTAGAGACTCTCACTTGGGGGCGATTTTACTCTCGGGGGACACTGGCAATGTCGAGTCACACCCGGAGGAGAGTGATGGGGCTGCTATTGGCATGTCGTGTCTAAAGACCAGAGATGCTGTTAAACACCCCATTATATATAGGACTGGCCCTTACAGCAAATAATCACTGGGCCTCTGTGCCGAAGCCCCAAGGTTGAGTACCCCTGCTCTCAGGCACTTCTTTTCACTGCAGATCAACTGACCACCCAGGTCGTCAAGTGAAATGATCAGCAGATAGGGTGTGGTGACGTTCTCAGGGCATTCTGCAGTCAGAATCCCATATAAACCATGGTTCGCCACACACCCGGCTCTTCCTTCAAGAGCGATATGCCCCCATGCTTGGCAGTGAATGTGACAAACGGGGGTCTAGATCAGCATCTCTGCAGTTAAAGCCATCAACCACCTCCTTCAGAAATGTGAGTACTGGTGAGGAGCTGTTACCACAGCTGTGGGCCCCACTCTCAGGCCTCTGGGACCCCACCTCCAGGCTGGGTGGGACCCAAGCCTCCGTGAAGTCCAGAGTGACAGTGCACGGCCCCAGATCCCGCTCTCTGGCCCTACCTGTTCTCCCGTTGCTCTTAGCGTTCCCTCTAGGGCACCTTAGGGTTCTCTCCCTCATGGTCCCTTGGTCCCCTGTCCTTCAGGCCCCCACACCATCTTCTCCCCATTTGCTTTCTGTAGATCCCCTTGTCTTCTGCTTTCCTGAGTGACAAGAGTAGTTCCCATCGCCATCAGTGATGCGGCAGCCCCAAGCTCCAGGCTGGTGGGATGAATCTGCTTCTTCTTCTAGGCCAGTACCATTCACTGTGCTTTGCAGATGGTGAAGCCAGGGTGTTGCTAGCCTTCTAACTCCCTCCCAGTCGCAGCGTGGGCGTTTCGTCCCTGCCCTGCCTGTCTCCAGCAGGAACTCCTGACTATCTCTCCTTCTCCTGAGACCTGTCTACACTCTCCTGATCGTGTTTTCTTCACTAGCACCTCACCCCACTAACTTCGACGCTTCTCTTCCTACACACGGATTCATTCTACCCTGGTCCGCCAACGTTCTCCTGCCTCAGTTTCCTAACTTCACTGTCCCAAAGAAGATTGCTTCACTCCGCCCACATCTTGCACTCTCCTGCTTGCTCTTGGCCTGTCCAGTCATCCTCCGTGAATGTGGTCCAGCTCTCACGTGTAACCCTATGCCTCTGATGACGTTGTCCATGTGCCTTGGGTGCCCTGACCCCTGTGGATGGACAGCATGCCTCTCTTTCATTATGCCTTGGACCATCCCTTGCAGAGAACAGGCAACTGTGAACATCTCACCAATACCAGGAACTAAGCACCACTCAGGGGGCAGGAAAATGGCTGAGCCAGGACTCCTAGGGAAATTCCTTTGTAATGGAGCTCTGTTGAGCAGAATGACGACACATTGTTGACATATTTAGATCAGTGATCACCTCATGGAAATACCATTTCACTGGGGACTGAGATTCGAAGCCACTAACTTCATATCTAAATGTCACTTACCTCTTCACTGTAACCGAGTCTCTGAGAAACAGAAGCACATGACTACGAGCTAGGGGATTCAATTCCTGTTTTTCCTTCCTGTTTGTCCTCTGCTAAAGCAAAAGAGAGAGAGAGAAAAAAAGATACCTAAAGAAACTTCTTGGTATTGCTATCCTGATACAAGTTGCTACTATGTATGTAGAAATGAAGTTTAACAAAACAAGCAGTTTTTGAGCTGTTGGCATTAAGTGACATTTCTTTTTAAAAGGGAAGTGTAGAACAGCTGGCCTTGTGTCTGTGTCTAAAGGTAAAGACGCTTTCTGGGGGCAAGCGCATCTGCATACCCTTCCCACTGCTCCGGTTGATGGGATCTCCACCGGTTGGAATCAGTGAGCTTCTGCCTCTCACTCATCAGCCCATTCCTTAACTCGGCCACTGTTTAACAAAACTGTGTGCCCTGTGACTGGACAAGGGACAGCTCCATGTCAGGAAGTGCTGTTTACCTTAAAATTCAACTTCTGTGTGATAGGAGCTGGAAGGACAGATTAAGGTGTGGTGGGAGCAGGGTCCAGATCTTTCTCTCGGGGCAGCTGGACAGAGATGGTTTCTAGAAAAAATATCTCTTCAGGGGAAATCCAAGTGTGTCAGAGGAAGGAAGAGGGGCCGTGATTCAGGGAGGGGTTGTTCCCCACCAGGGAAGGCTTAGGTCCAGGGGTGGGGAACCAGAGGAAGAGAATGGGGAGGGGTTAATGTCATAATGAATACTTTAGTTACATAAAATTAGTGCCATTTTCTCCCGTCCTGGGAATCAAATCCAGGGCTTTGTGCATGCCACACAGGGACTACAACTGAACCACGTCGACAACCCTCTGTGGAGGCCATTTAGAGATATGGCAACTGAGGTACCAAGAGGTTCAGTGATGTAGATAATTAGTAAAGAATTACCATATTCTATGTTAGTAGACTATAGATAATATTAAATTGTAAATACTCAGCTGATTAATCACTACTCAGCTACTACAGAGTAGGGTCTATCTCGACCTGTGCCCATAATGGACACAATATTGTCTGCCATCGTGTCTTTTCAAAATTCCCACCCCGAAGTGTTTGGTGCCCCACGAGTAGATGGAAGCACTGATTTAACAGTTCATGGGAAGCCTGAGTGGAGGAAATGCCAAACCCAGGAGGCCTCTTATCCCTCTACCTGCTGTCTTCCAAGAATCAGACTTTGGCAAGACTACTGCTCTTTTCAGAGGAACAGTCATTCAAATGCAGGAGCAGATAGCACCAAGTTTTGAGCACCATTAACTGTCAAGGTGGCATGGAGGGAGACATTTTGGAGGGTCCAGTCTATGCCCCATCAAGAACAAATAGCCCAGAAGGGACCAACCAGTGATATACTCAGGCATCTTTTCTGCCTGCAAAGGTTTCTGTGAATCACTAAACCCTTTCTTTTCTGTCGGGAATGACTTAACTCTCGAGGGCTCCACATGAGAAGCTCCCCGCTTTCAATTACCGGTGACCTAAGTGAAATCACTGAGTTGACTCAAGGAGTCACAGGCTTACTGAGAGAAGCTGTTTGCTCTAAGTCAGGGACTGTCTTAGATCTAAGACAGAGTCACACCCCGTCAACATATGTGTCTTAGGGGAAGCTCTAGGACTATAAAAGCTTCGAGCAAAGACTTCAGAGTGGTGAAGTGTGTGGACAGTTTACTCAAGCATGGGACGTGCTGGTGACTTCTCATTACCACATGTTCTCTCGGGTAATTTCCCCCAGTTAAGTGAAACCTTAAGTCACTGAGAAACAATGGATTCTTTCTAGAAAAATGTTTGAATTTGAGAAAGACAGTGTGTTGCTCTTCCTCAATCATAAGCTCATTTTCCTTTGTTGGGGCCTTAACTGCTGAGGCTGGCTGGAATCAAAAGGCCCATTTCCAAACCATCCTGTGGTAACATGGATGGAGAGTTACTTTGTGTGTTTATTCCCAACACTAGTAGAGTTGATGAGTTGATTGTTTAGAGAGTACACACACACACACACACACACACACACACACACACACCACAGATTGGATAACTTGGCCCTCTATGTGTGTGGATTCAACCCATTGTAGGTCAAAAATATTTGGACATATATTGCAGCTGTACTGAACATGTACAGACATTTTTGTTGTCATTATCGGCTGAATAATACATAATAACTATTCACATTGTATTTACATTATATTATAAGTCATTTGAAGATGTACTTAAGTGCAATTGTCCTCTGCCTGCAGGAGGCTGAGCCCAGGATCCCCTCAGACACTAACATCCCAGGCTTGTTTCTTATTCTTGCGGAAACTGGATACTGTTTATCGGATAGCTCTCCTGACTCACTTTCCCATCCTGCTGCCAAAGAATGACCAATAGTTCATCAACCCTTTCCCTAACACTTCAAAATCCTTCCTCTGCTAGATCTGATTCCTCTTGGGCAAATGGACAGAGAGGTGGGTTAATAATAATACAGCTTGTTAAATTTCTGTGTATGACTCACCACCATGAAAATTCAGGAATGTGAGTTATAAAATGATTAGTCCTTTTTCAGCTGGCCATAGGTTGTTCCTGCCCTTTAGGAACAAATTGTGGTCAGAAACTGAGCAGTTAGCAAGGAGCCTTTATTCTTGTCTGCCTCTCTGTTGCTACTGGTCTACTTATAACCGTAGCTGGGAAGCCCGTGGTGTGCTTCCGACTGGGAGTCATTAAAAGAGTCATTGAATGGGGGTTGAGAAGAAAGGAGGTGAATGTTAAACAAACCCAACCTGGACAGGCAGGTGACTTCATGAGTGCTGCCTGAGTGAGCCTACTCTGGCAGTTCTCATTCTACAGATTCATTCAGACAGTGGCGCCTGCTGGGAACCACCCAGTAGGAAGACACAAAGTCTGACCTTCAGAGATCACATTTAGGACTCCCAAAAGTGGGCCATCAACCTACTGTAAACAGTGATCGTTATCTACAACCAGGAGGTAGTTTCTGGTCTTCACAAAGCACAATGGATGATATTACTTCCTACACTCCAAAATCTATGGATGGTCAAGGCTCTTACATACAGTGATGCAATATTTATACTCTGCATATCTTCCCATATATATTACATCATCTTTGTGACTTACAAGATAATATGTGTCATATAAATGGTTGCTATGCCATATTATTTAGGGAGAAATGACAAGAAAGAAATCTGCACATATCTAATATGAGCTAATTTTTCCAAACACTTTTGATCTGAGCTTGGTTGAATATGTGGTTGTAAACTTCGTAGTATGGTTGGCTGTATGTAAAATTCAAAATGACTTAGACAGAAACTTCCTTTGCTGGAAGGCTCACGTAACGAGAATCTCTCTCTAGGATGGTGATATCCCAGTATCTCACCTCCCTAATCCCACCCCTCCCTTTGCCGTCTCTATGGCAGGCTCGGTCCCTACCTGTACATCAGCTGTGAAAGTCCCTGGAGCCTCCATCCTGGAGTTACTTCCTTGTGTGTATTTACAGCTTCACTCATTAGCTCCATCTTGAGAGTTCCCACATTTATCCTTCAATACAGGCTTTTCTCAATCTCTCAAGCTGGAAATGCCTACCTGTAATCTGTTCTTGTTATCTTCGCGAGGGGGAGTTCCAAGGGGGATTGGTAGCATCTCATGCTATAGCCCAGCTGGCTCAGAACTTCTCTGTAGTCCAGGCTGACCCCAAACTAGTGCATGGTCCTCCTGCTTCAGCCTCCTGAATGCTGTGATTACAGGCGGAAGCCACCACATCAGGCCATTCTCGGTTATCTCAAACACACTTGAAATGTTCTTCTTGGTCACAGAGTGCCCAAGTTAGATGTGGCCATAGAAGAGACTCCATTTCCTAGCTTCCCTTGCAGCCATGGATGGACAAAAAGATGTAAACACAAATTATTCAGCTGAGCTTCTGGGGAAAGTCCTTGAGGAAAAGGCTGACTCAAAGAGTTTTCCCATCTTTGTCTCTTTGTTCTTCCTTCTGCCTGGCATGTGGACCTGACAATCAATCCTACAGTGATCATCCTGAGACCACGGGAAGAGTCCCAAGAAGCAGCTAGCATGAGTGTGACACAGGGTGCAGGTGACAGAGCCTGGGGTAGCGGTTCCTTTTCCTGTCTACAGAGCTTCAGGTGAGAACTTAAAATTTGTGTCTTATTCCTTCTTACGTGTACTTACTGGCTGATCACAATTCCTAACCTATCAGCCACGCCCCCTCGTCTTGTCAATCACTGCTTCTTGTCCCCTCCAAAAACTTCGCCATGTTCTCCCTGCCTTCTCACACACCGTTTTCAGGGCCTCGATTCCGGTCATCTCTTCCCTGACCTCCTCCATGGACTCTTCCCCACTGTAGACTCCCAGAACCTCTCTCTGTTACACCTGTCTTTACTGTGATTTTACATTAATCTCTCTCACTAGTTTCTTTTCTTTTTTTCTTTTTGAGACAGGATCTTATACTGTAACTCAGGCTAGCCTGGGACTCATGTTGTAGACCAGGCTATCCATTAGCCTTCTATTTCTCAAACCCAAACTCAGTTCTGCCTCAGAGGCTTTGTACTGCTGTTCCCTTCTGCCTAAAACTCTGGATCCTGGCAAGGCTGGCCTAAAGCCAGTAGGGGTGCTGTAAGCACAGATCCAGTTTGTGTGAAGAGCATGAGCGGCAGGTGGGTGAGGGCTGAAATCAGTCCGAGTTCTGTCCCTGTATCATAGGCCTTGAGGAAGAGGTTCTTATTTCTTCACCAAAGATAGCAGGACATCTAGATAGATTTATTTATTTTTTATGCACCATAGAAAGTGAGTGGTGGCCCACGGTGGAAAGCCTCCGAGCTGGAAGGCTTTCTTCTCTGCTGGATGATAACCCATGGCTAACTCTAGGCAAAGCTCCATTAGTAGCCAGCTGGTGCATCCGAGTGAGGGAAAGGGAGAGAAAGCATCTTAAAGGCTGATGCCAGGCTTTGTTCTGTCTCTTAGTTCATTTACTTGACACCAAGCACTTCATTGTCCCATAAGGATATTCTGAACTCAGGGAGTTGATAATCTTTTCTTTTTGTTTTTGGGTTTTTCAAAACTGGGTTTCTCTGTGTAGCCCCGGCTGTCCTGGAACTCATTCTGTAGACCAGGCTGGCCATGAATTTACAGATCCCCTTTATGTGCTGGGATTAAAGGTGTGCACCACCACTGCCTGACTTAGTTGATAGTCTAGAGGAAGGCACAGAGAAATGATCACCCCAGCATGAAACAGTCACAGTGATGGGGCCAGGAAGGAGAGGTGGGTGGGGTCCTGAGAACTCATAGTGCAGGTAGGAGTGTGTGTGGGGGGGGTTGACCTATAGCGCAATGGAGGAAGTGGTTCTGGTTGAGCATAGCAGGATGGGTATGAGATCAGTGGGCGGAGAAACGATGAGACCCAGTGGAAGGTGGAGACCCAGTGGAAGGTGGCCTGGTTCGAAGAGTCACAGAGTCCTGGTCTCCATTTGCACCTAACTATTCCCACAGGTGTTTCCAACCTAAGAGAGGCTGTCATTCACCTCTGTGGTGACTTGTGTAGACCATTACAGGAAGTTCTTCTGCAGGGTCCAACAGAGTCAAGGCGTGTTGGAGCAGGACTCTTTTTGCTCTCAAGAGCTCACTGTGCACATCTCTTTCCAGCTCAAAACTCAGTGCTGTCACACTGGTTGGGAGGAAGAATATATACCAAGAAAGTCAGCAACTGTTACGTCAGGGATTTTTAGTTCTCCTGGGAGAGATGAGGTCCGACATTTACCAACACGCTGCTGAGCGTGGGCCTCCTCTTCTAGTTTCAGAGAGGCTCCATACCTTGAAGCAATGTAAGTCTCCTTGAAAAGGTTGATAGCCTTTGGATCTTGTCTGAGACAGCCAGAAAAAGAAACGTTGCTGATCTTCCTGTCATGTGAAATGTTCCCTGGAAACTGGTTTCCAGAAGCACAGCTCTGAAGTGCCGTAAGTTGAGGAGTCCAAGGTGGTTGGATTTGGTCAGTCATACTGGCTGGTCCCCTTCATAATCACATATTGTTGCCAGGTTCTAGGGCAATGAGTAGATTCTGGACACCAGGACCTCATCCTTCTCCTCTGAGTGGAAGTGGCTGGCAACAGAGCGTAGGTACAAAGCACGTGCGTAGTCCCCCCACCCTGCTTTCATTAGTCTGCTGCTCTGGAGAGCTGGGCCTGTTCTAGCCGTCTTTGGATCTCTTGCAGTATCTGACATGGTATCTAATTCATGGCCAATCTCTCACTACAAAATGGTTTGGATTTTGATTTAATCAACATCACGAACGAGAACCCAGAAACTCTACACAGCCAGATCTTGACCTCGCCTCAGCTCTTTACTTTGTAACTTTTCTTTCTGCAATTTCCTGTTTCCCATAATACACTCAGCTCAGGCAAGCTCTGGAAAATCCTCCCCTAGACCCAGGACTGGAGGGGTGTGACACTATTTATCTCTGTACTCACCTCATCCTGTAAATGTCTACATCTTGTTCAGCCCCTCAGCCCTGGTCCCTGGTACAGTGTGAGGCATGGACTGGGTGCCCAGTTAAGATGTAACACGTGGTACTAGTACTGAGAACTGAAATTCAGCCAGGACTGGAGAACACCACACTTCGCAAGCTCCTTGCCTGTGTGACTCCTGGGGTGAGCCTGTCACTGTGGCACACAGGGATGTGTGTTACGGGGAACTAAGGAGAAACAAGCAGAAGGGAGGCTCTCTACCCCATCTTCTTTGCCCCGATGCAGGTCATCAGTTTTTAAAGATACCCCCTCACCTTCCTACAAAGAGAGAAGAAGCCAATCACTAGAGGCAAACAGAGCCTTGAGTAGAAGGAGAGACCAGAGGGAACCACCACGTGAAGCTTACCCAGCAGCCCCGCCTCCCTCAGGGCCTGACTTGTTCCCCCCCTAAGTCTTGTAGTAGTTAAACTTTCAATGTTGCTGTGATGAAGCACCCGACACAAGCCACTTACAGCAGAAAGGGTTAACCCTGGCTCCCGGTTTGAGGAAACCCAGAGGCGCTGTTTCTGTTGGGATGCTGTGTGATCCAGGCCCTGCCTTGCACCTGAGGCCCTCAGCTTGGACGGCCCCTGTTGTTCTGGCTTTTACCAGTCCAGTTCACAGGAAGACTTCAGAGGGTAGCGGCACAAAGCCTGTCCTTCCTCCTCCAGGCGTTACCAGGTCTTCCGCCCTTCCCTCCCTTAGCGCTCTAACGTCCTGTGAAGGTAAACAGAAACCGAGGACCGGCCTTATCCTTACCCAATGTCACACAGCTGATAACAGCTTTAGGGTCCACATGGGATTCTCTACCTTCCTCTTCACAGCGACTTAGGGGTGGCCGGAGCTGTAACACTCAATTTCGGAGATTAAAACTGTTTATCTTAAAGACCCCTTTCTCCAGCCTTCACAGAGCACACAGATTCCTTGACTACGGTAACCACACAGCCGAGGTGAGGACCCTACGGTTTGGTTTGGGAGGCTGAAAATCCAATTATCATGACACGGACTCTGATGGCCCCTGCTCCTGGACACATCCATCACATGACGGCGAAGGGAGCAACACCAGGAACATTCGAGAAAGAGAGAAATCGTGTGGCAAGACGGGAGCCAGAGAGCACGAGGATGAGGCTCCCGGCTGGTAGCAGCACTCTGGTGGGAGCTAACACTCCAGAGGCAGTGCCTCAGTGGCCAATTCCTGCCGCTAGGCGGTGGGCTTCTGGGGAGTACCAACACCCCTTAACATGCCGACACTGGTGAGGACCACACTTCCAGGACGGGTCTCTGGGGGATGCAATCAGACGGCCTCCAGCAGAGCACGGCCAGCTGAGACCAGTAAAGCCGGCTCATAGCAAACAAGACAGCTACACCCTGTGTGGGGTGGCCAGGGTGGCCCGCGGGGGCTGGGGCAGGGACGCAGAACTAGAAGCTAGGAAGCCCTTTTTTGGAGTCAGCACAGGGACCTACTGGCCCGGAGAGGAAAAGAGTATCTCTTCTCAACTTTTGTTGAGGGAGGAAGTGATGAATGTCTCCACCAACCCTGCCGGGGCGCTGCGACAGATCAGATCTCCCTTGGAGGAAACTCAGGAACCACATGACAGCCACCACACTGGAGGCTTGCGCGGCGCCTCACGCCGCCGCGTGTTCTCCTTTAGCTCATGTGCGATGTTTCCGCCCCAGCAGACATTCCCTTGTGACAAGTGGAAAGAGAGCTGAAAAAAAAAAAAATCTGGAAAGAATGAATGCACCCAAGAGAGAACAGATATCAGGAGCCCGGTCGGGGGGGCGGGGGGGGGGACACGGGCGGGAAGAAGGGGGCTTCGAGAGGAAGCCTGCAGCCCTAACCCATGTTCCCTTAGCCTGGGCTTCCGATGCCCCCCAAGCCCCTTCCCGCTCCTGAGTAGCAAGTGGTGAGCTGGGAGAAGGGCCACAGAGCAGGCACTGCCCTGAACTACACACATGGCAGTGTAGCACTCTGACCAAACCTACTTCCAATCAGTGACCCCAGCCAGTCTCTTGTCCCTTCTCAGCTCCCCCCGCCAGTCTCCTTTGCTGAAAAGGGGGAGGGTTAATAATGGTCCCGGAATTGGTGAGTATTTATAACATAGTCAGAACAAAGCATAGTGCAAAGTCTCCCTAAGTGAGCACACTGGCTCTATTTCTGCAGCTGACACCTGCCCTCAAGCTGTCCTACAGGGGAGGTGCCACCTTGTCATTAATGCTTAAGTGACAGACTGGAATAAACGCAGTTTTAATGATCGCGCCTGTTCTCCAGACTTCAGGCAAGGATGCTACTGCCCCCGTGGGGCTGACATTTCTTGTTTTGTTCATTGCCTGTCTGTTCTTCCTCCTCAGAGCCCAGCTCTCAGGGATGTGGAAGGAACACTGTCCTTGGGGTAGGGTGTGGTGTGGAGAGGAAAATCTGATGGAGCTCCCGATGACTCACGGGTTGCTCATGCTTAGACAGGGAGCCCAAGCTGGAGTATTTGGGCCACGACATGAAGCTGTTTCCACCTGGGGCAGGTGTGGGCCCTGAAAACCACGTTCTTAACCTTTGTTCCCAGGTCACACAGCACTCGTCATCTGGTGTAGCGTCTGGGGGGGAGGTCCAGCTTATTTGTCCTGTTTCTAGTTTCCCAAAGATCCTTCTTTCTTTGTGGAAAGCCATGGGGTGTGTTATTCTGAACCCCCATGTCACTCTCCAGAGGTCCATGCACAGAATCTTCACTGGAGACTCACAGCTCAAGGTGAGAGTCTTGCTGTTGGTGGTGGTTTGGCTCTTTTGGGGGACCCACCACCCAGCTCCCAAATAAATCACAGACGGAGGCTTATTCTTCATTATAAATGCCTAGCTTTAGCTTGGCTTATTTCTAGCCAGCTTTTCTTAACTTTAAGTTATCTCATCTACCTTTTGCCTCAGGGCTTTTTCCTTGTCTTACTTCTGTATATACTTACTTTCATTTTTACTCCGTGGCTGGCTGGGTAGCTGGGTGGCTGGGTGGCTAGTCCCTAGCATCCTCCTCTCCTTGTTCTCTTGCTCTTTCTTCTTTTCCTCCAAGATTTCTCCTATTTATTCTCTCTGCCTGCCAACTCTGCCTATCCTTTCTGCTGCCTTGCTATTGGCCGTTCAGCTCTTTATTAGAGCATCAGGTGTTTCAGACAGGCACAGTATCACAGCTTCACAGAGTTAAAACAAGTACATCATAAAAGAATGCAACACATCTTTGCATCATTAACCAAATGTTCCACAGGATAATCAAACGTCACACATATTAAAATAATATTCCACAACACCTTGCAGGAGGGACATGGGATAGGCAGGAGGAGCCAAACTCACGGGTTGTCTGTCTCAAAGGCAGCTCCCAGCAGTAGTGGCAGGCACCCTGGAGCCAGCACGGCCCCTTGGAAAGGGAGTGCATGGCCAGTCTTGTCCCCGCATAGGCTGTCAGATGACGGCTGCCCTGGAGCCAGGCAGCGGCTCTCAAGTCAGGGCAAACTCTACAGACGCTGTGCCCTCAGCTCCAGCAGCCAACCTGTCTGGCAGCTCGGCGTCGGGCACCCAGGCCCGCAGCAGCCACCACCCTGAGCTGAGTTAGGGGCCTTTTCTTCCTCTACCCCCTTTTATATGATTTCATTCTTGAAGGTCCCATAGTCTAGTAATTAATGACAGGGTTTTTGAAGTCTATCAGGCATGTGCTCAAATCCCATTTCTGCCATTCATTTGATAATGCTGGCAATATATATTTCAGGTGTTGTACAAAGGTATGACTGTAGAGAAAAAAAAATCCTCAAACCTCTGCCTCTGGAGCCAACACTTGAGTGGAAGGGACATAAGCAAGACAAAACAAAACAACAACAACAACAACAAAAACTGCTAAGAAGGGACATAGGCAAATAAAAACAAAACACTGCTCAGAAGTGCGGTTAGTGGTAGAGTGCTTGATTGGCTTGTAGGAGGTCCGGGTTCAAATCTCAGCAGCAGGCAAGCAAAGGAGACTGTGCCACAAGGCGGCCTGTGCTAGCTTGCTCGCACGCTAGTCCATCATCTCTGGCGGACTTTGAAACCCGCACTAGTGCGCGGGGGGACCAGCAGGGCAGGTAGGCGTCTTGTGTGGGAGTCAGGCCATCTGTCAGCATAAGCCCGAGGGAGGAGGGCGTGGCCACACGGAGATCTGGGCCCGGTGGATTTTAGGTGGAGGGTATGCTGGGAGTGTGCAAGGCCACAAGGAGAGAGTATTGAGGAGGGAGACAAAGCCAGAGAACTTGTAGAAAACCCAAGGCAGGCAGATTTGCAGGCAGAGAACAGGTTGCTCAGGGCTGGGCAAGCAGGTGGGATTGGGGAGTGAGGTTTCCTTCTGAAACGATGCAGATGTCCTTCAATTCCCTGTAGCCCTGTGAATACACTAGCGCTACACCGCCGTGTACTCTGGGTGGGAAAGCTTTCGACCACGTGAAGGACCCTTTAATGAAATCAGAGCTGCTTAAATCAGAGCAATGGCTGATGGGCAGCAGGGCTGTGGGGCTGGTAGGCCACAGTGAGGAGGGATGGGTCACTCTGAAGGATGGGAGCCTGCCTGATGACTTTAACGGGATGACTGGATTTATATCTGAGAAGCATCTCTCTGTTCTCAGTGCTGAAGGGACAGGCATGAGAGGAGAGTGTGACACAGAGGCAAGGTAACCGTGCTGGAAGAGAGGGGTACGTGGTTGCCTATGTGAATAATGGGGGTTCAGCAGGGAATGCCGTGTGCTGTGTGTGTGTGTGTGTGTGTGTGTGTGTGTGTGTGTGTGTATGTGTGTGTGTGTGGGGGGGATTTGGGGTCCTAAATGGTACAATCTCCATTTACCAGGATGGAGACAACTGTGAGAATAACTCATGTGGGGGAAACCGGGAGGCTGCTCTGCTATGAGGAGCTTGTATGGTCTATAGAGACATCTCCGATGCCAGTTAGATAATTGCTAACTCAGTCTGGTTAGAGATGAAATCTGGTATCATGAGCACATTCATGCAGTTTAGGCTTGAGACTGGGTGAGACCTTAGGAGTACAGATACAAGTCAAGGCCAAGTGCCTGGTCCCGTAAATCTTAGGTTTCCCAAACTGTGGAAAGGTTACGTCAGATGCAGAGTTCATGAAGCTCTTAGTGGAATCCTTACTCGCACTGAATTTTGATCCCAGACTTCTTTTTCAAAAAATGATTTTTTCCCCTTTGAGATAGGGTTTTCCTCTATAGCCCTGGCTATCCTGGAACTCACTCTGTAGACAAGGCTGGCCTCGAACTCATAGAGATACAACTGCCTCTGCCTCCTGAGTGCTGGGATTAGAGGGGTGCAGCACCACCACCCAGTGATCCCAGACTTCTCTAGGCATGTTCCTCAGCTTACTTTGATCTTAGCATCTTCAGCTTTATTATGTCCTGAACGTTGATTACAGATCAGCTATCTTGCCAGGACATCAGATTCTGACCTAAAGGACCTGGCCGGCATAGCCTCTCCAGAGGAGTACCTTCCTTGCCTCCGGGATCTAAGATGGCAGCCAAGCTCCAGGTTAGAGCCGTGGTCAGCCCCTTTCTAAGGTCACTCTTGCGAGTCTGAGTGTCCTTCGGCATGGTAACTGCCTCTCAGGGGGAGTGACCCAGGAGAGGGCAGCAGGGTGCCAAGGCTGGACGCCGGTCTCTATAATATCAGAAGTGACGTGCCATGGCTCGTGGGATACTCTGTTAGAAGTCAGTCAGCAATCCTGTCTCGGGGAACTGTACAGGGACAGGAACACCAGGAGATCCTTATGCGAGTCTTGGGAACTGTCCACCACATTCTCTGCCCTGTTCCTCATATTGCTGCTCCTCTTCTGAGCTGGTCCCTCAACATGTGCATGTGCTCCTAAGGCATCTACCGTCACTCAGTCTTTGGGGCCCCTCTTCAGCTTTAAGGCATGTCCAGAAGTCTCCTAATTTAAAAATAAATCTCCCCCCTTGAGCTATGACCTTAGGTCTCCTCTCCCTCCTTCCTCCCCAGTCTTCTTGAGAATGTGGCCTTTACTCCCTGCCCAGCTTCCACCCCCACAGCCTGCTCCACTAGTCACCAGTGACCACCTAAATGCCAGGTCATGTGGCTAAGCTTTTATTTACGTTGACCTCTGCAGCATTTCCTTTTTCTTTTTGTAGCACTGAGGATCAAACTCAGAGCCTCCCACATACGAGGTGGGTGCTGCAGGGTCGCCACGCCCCAGCCCTCGGCAGCACTTAAAGGTGTTGACTCTCTTTAGTTGTAGCTGATCTGTTGACCTCATTGTTTCCATCTCCCGTGACTGGAGTTGCAGGGTCAGAGCTGGGGCTCTTGCAGCTCTAGCAGGCTAGGCTTGGTCATCCGCACTCACTCGGCCAATTAAGAGACAGTGAAAAGCAGAGGAAAGAGCCTCATTCCGTGTGGCCACACTGGAAAGAGGACAAATAATGAGGTCCAGTGAGATCTCCAGTGAGTGCGTTTTCTGGGTCCTGACCTGAGGCTTTGCGCTTAGCTGTAGTGTGGGGTTACTTAGTATGACTAAGCAGCCTGCCTCTAGTGGAGGTGTGGTTCTGCCTGTCCTTGTCTGGGCTTCCGCCTCTCCTGCAAAGTGGTCTGAGAAGTTGTCACCACTCAGTGAAATATCTTCCTCGGAACCAAATTCCTCCTCTGGCAGGCGCCAGCCTTCAGTCTTCTTCTTTGCCAAGCATGGGGTTCCTGGGGGAGTGGGGGATTCCAGTCCTGTGGGGACCACCACTTCAGTAGCTAATGGCCACAGGGATTCTGCAGAGCATAGATGTCTCTTTAGAATGTCTTCATTCCCGCCAGGATGGCTGTGTTCTGTATTCCCTTACTCCTAAGGATGAGCTTGCCCAGGCTCTGCCTACCTCCTTTGGCTTCACTTCTGTCTCCCCACCTGTCCCCCCCCGCCCCCCTCACCCCCCACCTCCCCACTCCCACTCCACCCCCACCAGTAAGTCTGTTTTGTAAATATTACTGCAGCTGTGGATTTTAGATTTCCAGCTCAGAAGTGAAGGAAATACTGAACACTCTTCTTGAGTGTAAGTCAACTTCAGCCTGACACTGAGCCCCTTTCTACTGAGGCGGCAGGAAGTCAATCCCCGGAACTGTTGAATATCCTCCTGTATTCATGTCTTTCCTTGTTGCTGAGACCAAATACCTGACAAGAAACCGCTTAAGGACGGCCGATTTGACTTCTGGACAGACGTGCTAGCCGGAGCTCCAGACGCCTGGCCGCATTGCCCACAGTCAGGAAGCAGAGATGACCAGATGACCACTGGAGCACAGCTTTCCCTAACTCAGTCCCTGGGGGAGTGCCCCCCACATTCAGGGTGGGTCTTCCTTTCTGGTAACAAGCTCACAGGCACACCCAGATCTCCAGAGATTGTTTTGATGGTGACTCTAAATCCAGTCAAGCTGACCATGAAGACTGACCATCACACCTCCTTTGCCCAGAGGTGTGCCAAGGCCAGCCCCTCCTGGGAGCACACGCTAGGCAAATCCACTGAGCTTTGGTTCCACTGATGGCTGAAGAGACGTTCCCTGCTCCAGCTGAGTCCAGGGTCACGGGTCAATAACCTTGTCGATTAGAGCAAAGGAACTTTCTGCAAAATGTGCTCATGGCCCTGGCTCAGCCTTCCTAAGTGCATCTACCATTGTCCCCTTGAAGGCTGTGGGGACACAGCAGCACCCAGATCCCAGCCCTTGCGGAGTTGCTGATATTTCCTCTCTCTCAGCTCCAGGGGCAAGTCTTTTTGTCCCCGTCTCACAGCCCCCACCCCAGGAACACCTAGCCTCCGCCTTCACCTTGTGTAAACATCTCCGCAAAGGACAGCGCAGGCCTCGCCACCTGCGCAGAGTGCCGAGGAGGCGAAAGTACAGCAAATGAGCGCACGTTAATGGTGTGGGGTTGGCGGTGTGTGTCTACTCCATCGTTTTCTTGTCTGCCTCTCAGTTTGTAGGCGGCAAAGACCCAAACCCAGTTACGGAGAGACTCGGTTGGAGACTGTGACTTTGGGTCGCCTTCAAGTGGGCTTGTTCTGTAGTCCAGGCCACCTAGCAAGTCCAGAGAAGCCTCTGAGGGCATGGCCAGAAAGATCTAAAGAGAAAGCCCCAGTGGCAGGTCTGTGTGTGCTCAGCTCTCATTCCCAAAATGGCCAATCAAGTGAACGGTCCCTTGGCTGCAGGTTGCAGTCTTCACCCAACCAAGAGTTCCCTCAGCAGAACCCTTTTCACGGGCCTGGGAACCTCCAACGGGGTCTATCTGGACGAGGCTGGGCCCAGCGTGGCTCCTGATCTGTTGCATATCGCCACATGGGGGCGCCAGGCAGCTCTAATTAAACACCACCAGGCTCCTCTGGGTTCTCAGAGCTCCTTAAAGACAGTAATATATGCCCAAGGAAGGCGCGCATCATCTTCTCTTCTCCTCATGCATTTTTTTTTTTTTGCCAACCGCCCCCCCCCCCAAGCTCTCAAAACTCATTTGCTAGGTTTCCTTCCCCTCGACCTCAGGTGGCCGACAGCAGCAACCTCGTCTCATTTCTGTGCCTCAGTTTCCCGCGGCCATCGCTGGAAAGCGGAGCTCTGATTACATCTCCAGTCCTTCCAACTGGACCTTCCAATACTATCTAGTTTCCAGAACACCCATGCTAAACATTTGTGGAATGAATAGCTTGGTGCTTACTGAATCCCGCTGGCCCCAGCAGCACAGCCTTCCCAAACCGACCACACCCTCCCTTCCCTCCGCCCCTTCTCCCCACCCCCTCACCTGGCGCAGCTGATTGGCTGCTGCATTGTAGGGAGTTTGGCGGTGCTTTCCCCCCCCCCCCCCAGGGTGCTCAGAGGGAGGCAGGCTGGAGGCAGGCTAGTGGGCCCTGCTGGGGAGAGGCTGCCTGGTGCAACCCCAGGGCCTCCCGCCAATCAGACTTGACCGCCTTCACTTCCTGTGCTCCGGGAGATTAGATACTGCCTAAGCAAGGTCGATTTTTTTTCTTAATATTTGAAACTACTAAATACCAGTTGCCATCCAAGTGGGTGGCATTCAGAAATCCCCACTTTCCTGGTGTTTGACTTCTTGGTGAGTTTCAAGAAACCGATCTGTTTGGAAAGAACCTGCACTTTGTTCTTTGAAGTTCTATGAAGCTGAGGAGGAAGTGACTTGGAAACAGGGTTAGACCGTCTTGCCCCATGCCCGCCCGGGAGAGGTGGCAGGAAGGAAATACAGGTGCATCTGGTATGGGTGTAGCATCACACCGCGGATGCGTCTCAAGTGTAACTGCTTACAGATCTAGCTGGATCAGAAATCAGTGTCAACATACAGGTGTTTATGATGCAGAAAGTTAAATCCTGGCTGAGCATTGGCTCGGCTGGGCATTAGGAGTGCTGGACTGACTGCCAGAGGTGGATTTGGTAAGCTCTTAACCTGCTGCAATATACGTGTGGACTGAAGAACAGCTCGGGGAACTTCAGAAGAATTCAGAGTTCTACACTTTTTCCCCTACAAGCAAAGCAGCTGTCCTGAGAAGGTCTTTCTTTGTGACCAGGGTTGAGGACTATCCTCCAGGACGAATGCCACATCTTCATGAGTTCAGCTCTGCCCTCTTGGCAAAAGCTTGCCACATCCTGTTGACCATTGACGTTCCTTCTAGAAGATTGGGGCGGGTCATGGGGTCCTCACCAACCAGCTGTCTGCAGTTCAGCCCCACTTGCATCTGGCTTTGGGGAGGGGCTGGGAAGGGCCAGGGAGAGGGGTTTCATGTCTGCAACCATAGCAGAGCTGTTGTCGATGCTTCCTGTAAGCCTTCCAGTGCTGCCTGAATGGAATGGTCTTAATAAAAAACCTGAAGCCAGATACTGGGGTAAATACTGAAAGATCAGAGAGACAAATGAACGAGCTACAGCCACCTCTCACCTCGCCAACTCCACGAGTCCCCAGACTGAGTGTCCCCGAGTCCTCAGCTGAAAAGGTCTCCAGTTCCTGTCTCTTCTACTTTCTATGCCTTTCCCGCACGGCCACATCACTTCCTGTCTCAGCCTTCCTCGTGTTGGGATTAGAGGTGTGAGCCACCACTGCCTGGCTCCGTTTCTTTTAAACTAGATTAATCTCGTGTAGTCTAGGGTGGCCTTGAACTCACAGAGATCAGACGGGATCTCTGCCTCCCGAGTGCTAGGATTAAAGGTGTGTGCCACCACTGCCTGACCTCTGTAGCTAGCTCTATTCTCTGACCTTTAGGCCAGCTTTATTAGAGTACAACAGAATCTCATCACATTCCAGTATGGCTGTCTTCAAGCCACCTGCTTGTTTGCCTATGACCTCTCTGTAAGTAAGCCTATTGAACCCATTGGTTCCCCTGGAGTGAACTGTGATGGAATTACACTTGTCTGTCATTTGAACCTCATGAGTAGGGGAGGAAGCAGATGCTGGCTAGTTCCCCCCATCCCCTACCCCCCATCCCCATGTCCCCAGCTTCCCAGAGAAAATTCTCATAACACAAGGCAAGGGCATTTCATGGGAGGTGCAATCTATTCCGCCTGGCTGGGGAGACAGACGTCTGCCTTGTTTCTTGATGCTTGAGATGGACTTCCA